GGGAGCGGGTGGCCACAAGACCATCCCGGCAGCTGCTGACCCCTCTGGCAGACCCTGCTCCCCCGGCTGCTGGCGCCTCTGGCACCGGCTGAGCCCTCCTCCCGCAGCTGGGCCAAGCGCCAGGCCAGCAGCTGCTCCTAACAGGGGCTTTGGGAGGTGTCAAGGAACACTACTTGCTTTTCTTTACGCTTTTTCATTAAACCAATTGCTTAAAAGGCAAAATTAACAGGCTCCCCTTTCTCGCTCGCAGCGTTCCACTGCCTGTACCAGCTCTTTGAGCTCACTGTGGATTTCCTTCATTATTATCAGCTGTATTCTAGTCATCAGATGGGTTTTTTTTTCAGCGCTAGCAATTCTCTTAGCACTTCACTAGCAGTTATTAATTCAGCAAAGTTTTAAGATAGCTGAAATTCCAGGTGTTCAGCCTCCCTAGATCTTTGTTCTCATTCTTGTGTGGGTACTAAACCTTTCATTATTCCGTCCAGTTATTTATTATCCTCTTTATAAATTCAGTACAATTTTCTAACTGACATTTTCAACAAAAGGTCATCTGAAATACACATGGTGTTCCTTATATTGCCTGCTTTCCCTTTTAAAGGTTCACCAGAACTAATGTTATTCTTGTCATCTATTTACTCATTACATTGTGCAATAGGCCTTTGATCCTCTACTTGTCTATATGCCAGGCCTGTCTCCAATGAGATAGTTCTGGTGTGTGTTTCCTCTTTTCCATTCACTTCCAATTAAGCCAGACATGTTTTCAATACCCCATACTTTAAGTACAATTCCAATATATTGCTTAAAATGCCACAGCTAAGTTCAGTTGTTAATTGCATGTGATTGGAGTGCCGGGCATTGTGTGATGCTAAATGAGGAGCTGGGAGCCTAAATCCACGTATCACTTGTTGTGCCAAAATTCCACTTTTCTGGAACCTAAGCACTTCTGCTTTAGGTAGGCGTATCTAGAGGCATCTAAGGCCAAACATCTCAGATCCTGTCTTAAAAGTAACTCCAATCAAAATTCACCTAGAAGGTGAATTTCTCTAATTGTTTCACCTAAGGGGTTGAAACTGTCAGACTAGAGTGTAACACCAGAGTGTAACTAAAACTGTGGTCCAAATGCAATTCTTTTCTTCACAAAATTTTCCTTCAAAAAGCCGCCTCCAGGGAGGTGACCATGCCAATGTCCCTTTTCATAGCAAAAAGCTGAATATTTAGCAGCTTCACTGTGAGATGAAAGACCTGGACTTCATTCAAGGACTTACCTCCTGCCTCTTCATTTTTTATGTACTTTATGCAGGGACATGAACTGTCATTGGAACTACACTTGAAATTCAAGTGATTCATCTCTTTCCTCTGTCGTTTGAAATAAAGGCTTTTTTAATAGCTGCTTCACAAACTGTGACTATCAAGCAGTGCACTTAAACCGCAGAGAAGCCGACAGCTTAACCTACCTACTCTTTGTCCTTTAGGCAGATTTTGAAACTGACTTTGCAGAGACCCCCAGGCAGAGTTCCAAGGGGCTCATTTCGGTGGAGCTGATGCTTTCTTGGTTTGTGGAGCACAAGCACAAAACTCCCACCTGTGGATTGCACTGAGGGGAAAATAGTGATAAAAGTACCTGAACTGGACCAGTCAGTGTCTCTGAGCCCACGTTCATTTGGGTAAACGGGTCTTATCTCCCGGTTAGATGAAGGAGATAGATAGCCTGGTCTCAAATAAGGAACAACTCAAACAGCAAGCCTTTAGATAAACGAAATCCCATAAACTAGTATCTGCAAATCCAGCCAATAAGTAAGAATCAATGAATTTGTTCGTACATTGATTTTCCTCTAATCTTTAAATTAATGGTATTTGCCTTTCCAGGAAGGAAGGAGCTGGAGAACTGTGAAATGCTGAGTTCCTACTATGTAGGTGTCTATGTGAGGAGAAGAGGTAACAGTAAGCTCAGTATGAATTGCTGTGATATAGAGATACAGGGATTTAGCTCCTGTCTCAAAACTAATGCAAAGCCTTGCAGAAAGCAGCTCAGAGCAAAACTATGACAAATGAAAGGCATAATACAAAGAGGATAGGTATTTCCAGAGCCATCTTTTTAAGGCGAGTGAAGTAGGCAGTAAGTTTCTGCGCAAGATGCAAGAGCCTATGCAAAAGCCAATTAGCATATGGCAGCATTTATTACTTGCCAAAAGTGACTGTTTCCTGTTAAAAACTGGAAAAGTGGAGAGGACAAATAATCCAGTTTTCTTTGTGGGTTTTTGTTTTATTTTATTGCTGCTAATTAGGACATTAATGCAGTGGGCCATCAAAAAGGCTCACTTGATGCCTTTGAAAATCATCTGGAACCAGCATACAAAGGTTATAGGTCTCATTGTTGTAGTGCTTTAATCAGGTGTAAAACCAGTCTAATTAAAAGGAGAGGAGTAATGAATCACTATCTGGAGGTAGCTGAAAAAATGAACTTCTTACTAACCTACCCAAAGGTACCCAAAGCCCAGAAGCACTCCTGAGCTCCATATTTTCATCATAAGTTTTACATGCTGACATATGACTTAAACCATTGAAAATGTACAGCTATTTAGAGAACAGGGCATAATTGCTCCTATGAGCATTTGCCAAGAAGAATTCCTTAGAGATCTTGGAATCTACTGATTTATGAAGTGTCCTGTAAGAAGTGATTGTATATTGTTAGATATTGTTAAGAAAAGATTAGAGAACAAAACACATATAGCATCATTTGGCACTGCAGAAATCCATTGTTCACCTGTATCTGGATTATCATACGCCCATCTGATCCCCCAGAAAGAATATAGTAGATCTAGAATAACAGCATAAGGACAACACAGTAAGAAAATACCACAAGAGGTTAAATAGACTAGGATGCTCTGGCTGGAGTGTGACTTCCTACTAATGCTCATTTACTCCCCATCCCTGGTGCGGATCCCTATTTCCACATCCCCATTCCCATTACTTACTCACCTACCTCCACCTGAAAGGAAGGACACCTGAAAGGAGGACAAATCTGCATGCCTGAAGCCGGGGGTTGTCCATTGCAATCCCTGAACACAATGGCACTCACCAAGAGCTGGGCCCTGTGCAAGAAGTCAATCAGCAACGAAAGAAGGCTTTACTGCAAGAGGAGGAAAAGACTCCCCACCAAAGCCTTGGAGATAAAACAGGGTCCTTAGAGATTGTAGCCATTAGTCTGTGCGAAGCAGTTGGTTGTCTCACCACAGATTTTTTTTTGTGTCTTCTTAAAGTTTGCATGTGTGAGAAATTCCTGTAACTTCTGTTGCTTGTTCTAAAAACGAGTTGGACACTGGGTGCGCAGCGAGGCACAGGCCTGCAGCTTGTAGAGTTGGAAGCAATGGTGATTCCTGGCCCAGATCTAGAGGCAGCATCATTCAGTAGCTAGATCCCTTTGTAACAAACTTGTGCCCTTGCAAGAATCAGGGCTGGCCCAGGTTGTGATAAGGAAAGCAGAAGGATCATAAGCCACATCTTTCCTCTGGTCTATGACCGTTCTCTGTTAAAACAGACGCTAAAGCACTTGGAAAGCTAGTATCTCCAAGTACCTTAGTGTAGCCCTGGCCTAGAGAAAAATATTCAGATTTTCCTGATGCTTGTTCAGAGCATGCTGGTTATGGGAATATCCAAGCAATGCCATCTTTTGCAAGGGTCAGCTATGTTAGAGTCTACTGAAGCAAGCAAAACTTAGGGCAACCTTAGAAGCACTTTGATGTGATCTGGAGACGGAGCCATTTATGCACATTTATCAACCTGTTTCTGCATTATTATGGAGTGAAGAATTCAGTGCTCAGCTTCACTAGATGAAGTTCTGGTGCAGCTAGATTACATCTTGTGTAACCCTTTTTTTTTTTTAGGAGTTAACCCTTTCTTAATACTCTGCCTGGTCCTACCAATGTACTTAAAATGCAGGTGTAACTTCACCACTGTTTGTGAGCTTACGGAAGTTGAACCCACCTGCAACAGGCAGGTTCAAGATATTGAGTTCAAGATAAATTCTTATTAAAATCTTAAAAAGAGTGACACACAAATTAGAGGCAGTAAAGAGTTCTGTCACGTTCTGTCAAAGAAGCAGCAGCCAGTAGCAATAGCATGGAGGTCTGGGATAAAAGTAATATGGTGTGAGATTCTTTTCAATGACTGATACCAAACCATAAAAGACTGGCAGTGCAAGCAAAAGTAGTACTGTTAGCTCTGGAGACATAATGCAATGACAGCCTGGAGGCTAATTTTCTCGTGGCTGTCCTTTGGCAGGAAGTTTGGTGCTTACATTGTGCTCAATTGTCCCAATCTATCAGAATACTCAATTTTTTCCACACTCCAGAAGTGAAAACATACTAAACATTGCTATGGTTAAGCAGGAGAAAGAAATACATCACAACAGGTGATGACCTCAAAGAGACATTTATTTCACATGTTTTCCTATCGTGTAAACAGCTTTTTTGCGGGAATTGTTCTATCCCTTTCTTGAAAACGCTTTCATTTTCCCCTTAAGCTGGTTGAGCTCCTGCCTGTAAGGCTTATAATGAGGATATGGTGTTGACACCTAGAGGTACGTAGATACAAACGTAAACACATACATGAGTCTTTCAACTTTCTTTCAGAGTGTGTTTTTTTAGTAAGGCAGCAGTTTAAATCAAAAAGTGAGAGCCTAGAATACAATATTCCCTTCTGTGAATGATTACAAAGTGTAGCAGACACGTTACAACGAATAACCAATAATAATGGGTTTTCCAACAATCCAGTTTAATAGTTTCTTCATATGTCTGTGTTTATACATCAAATATACTTCCAATACAGAAAAGTAATGTACAGTTCAAGAAAATCCCCAAAGCTGTTACAGTTTTGGCTTGCTATTTATTGGTTTACAGTTATGTACAAGAGTTTCTTATTTGCAATATCAAGTGAAGTTTTAATAATTTATTTAAAACATCAGCTGGTACCTTTCACTATGCAATTGAATTGTCTCACTTGTTGCTATATTTTGCATCCATAGTAGCAAAAGCCCACTCAATGGTCTGTGCCACTTAGGTCCCATTTATGGATAGGGTTAAGTAGCGGACTGAAACTAGGCAAGATTCTTACTACCAGATGACAGACATACCTCTGAAATCCCATTCTCAGGTATAATTGAAGGAAGAATACAGCATCTACCGCACTGCTGTAACCGCTGTATTGACAGTCAACACAATAAGGTCTCTCCTCTGAAAATAACATTCCCGCTTATGTCAGAGAGAGGCATGTGAGAGCTGGAGGCGGTACGTACTTGAAGCTGCAGCAGAAAAGCAACTGAAGAGTGCTGAAAAGGTGCCTGACTTATCCTGACTTATCCTGCCAGAGACCTCCAACGCAAATGAACTCACAGAGTATGCTATCTTTCTAGATGTGTGGAGGACAATATTTTAAGGTTCTTCTTACACAAGAGGAAAAAAAAAAAGAAATATTTTTATCATAATACACAAGTTCATTCATAGAATCATTGAACAAATATTTGGGTTGGAAGGGACCTGTAGAGATCGTCTAGTCCAATTCACCATTCAAAGCAGAGCCGGCCTCAAACTTAGAGCAGGGCTATATTTTGAATATCTCCAAGGATGGAGACTGCATAACCACTGGGTACCTGTTCCAACCCTGATGATAAAAAAATTTCTCCTACATCTGATCAGAATTTCTACCACAGAAGGGTAATCCGAGGCCCCTTGACTCAATCGTAACCTTTCTGTTGACAACAGTTTTAGAGCATCCCCTAAACTAAGTGTAATGAGGGCTATTCTGTGAGGTTTTGAAAGAAATCGTTCATTTTTCCAAGCTATTTTCTGATACCTACTTAGTAGGGTAGCACTGCTTAAAATATTTGCCTAGTTTATATCTCAGTGCAAGATACGTACCATTCCTTGGCATCAAAAAATCAATGCCGCGGTTGTACTTCCTTCATCTGTGACAAATCCAATCTTCTGCACATTACACATCAGTTACAGAACAGCATGCTTACAACTAGATGCAAATTGCTCACACAAAATGCATGGAGGTTTCCAGGTCTTACAAACCACAGAAGCCTCTCAAAAAAGACAAAAACAATTTGGTTTGTGAGCGCGAGTTACGATTTTGTATAGCTACATGTGCCTGAGTTTGAGATCTCTGTTTTGCTAGTGCCTGCTGTCCCTGCTGATGATCAAAATTGTTTTGTCTAACACCCTCTCGCAGCTTGAGAGATGTAATCTACGGTAGAGCTTCCTCCAATAACAAAAGCTACTGCTAGCTGAAATGACTTTCTAACCTCTGCATAAAGGATGCCCCCCGGCCCAATCTTCCCTTCTCCACAAAACGTTATGCGACTGCCTAGAAGTTGTGCATCCTTTACTTCCTCTGCCTTCATGAATGAGGAAAACAGACAAACTAGAATCGGCTCAGTCTTCATGTTCAGGTACTACCAGCTTAAAATTAGCCTATGGTACATCTCCACAGGTGTAGTGATAAGAACACATGTTGTCAGACATGACAAAATACTGTATCCTGACTAAGAAACCTTGGAGTAACACTGCCCTCTTACATAATATGTATTTTATCACTGCAATACACAGCTGCTGCTATATGCATATGTTCTTAGTTACAACTGCGTTGACTGAGGTGCATGAACCCTGATAATCAGAGCCGCTTCTCTGAAGTCATGTATTAGCAGGAAAACTATTCTGCTGATCAACATAAGCCATGCTGTATCTACAAAGACAAAGAATATCAAGAGAAATGCATACTGAGAGGCCAATGGGCTCATTTGCATAGCAGGGCACACTCGTTGCTTTTGGCAGAAAGGAAAAATATGACTTTCCCTGTTCATGCCTCTTAAAAGATCCTGAGTCTTCAGTAGGCATACGAGATTCAAAGCATTTTTTCTCCCCTTAATACAGAGTAGCACTGAGTAGCTCCTACCACCAGCATGAAGGAGGTACACGGAGGGAAAGAAAGGTTTTACATTTAAAAAAAGGTTTCTGATTGCCACAGAAATCATGAAAACTGAACATAGGTGTTCCATAGGCCTTCCAGCAGAATTATAAGCAGCAGCAAGATGTTGCATTTCAACTCTCTTCACCACTAAATCTGTTTGGTTTGCTTTGGTTTTCCTAATATTTGTTCGACAACCCACAGACCATCCTCAGGCTGTAGCAACAAATGATCTCCTTGAAGGTCTTTCTCATTTCTTGGCTACGAAAGGCATAGATCAAGGGATCAATCACTGAATTGCACATAATGAGAATGAGGTACATGTTGAAGTGAGACATGAAGCAAACACAGTACAGATTTTGAGGGCAGGAGATCATCAGGATGAGATGGAGGAAAAATGGAGCCCAGCAAACAATGAAGATGCCAAGTAGCATAGTCAAAGTGATGGCTCCCTTCATGCTGGTTCTTTGATGGACAGAGTTGTATCCAGGCAAAGCCGCTATTTTTTTCACATGAGTACGAGCCAGGAGGAACATATGGATATATAGCGAGACCATGAGGAACAACATGGTAAAAAACATAGTGATGAGACAAATGACAACATAAGTTGATTCATAATACAGAATGAAGACAATGCCACAGCCTGTGCAAAAGGTCCAGATGCATGCAATGATAAGCCCCGATCTTTTCACTGTCATGATGTTGTGATAACGCAGGGCATAGAAGATGGTGATATACCTGTCTACTGCTATAGCCAGCAAACTGCACATGGAAGCCACCACAGAGATGCAGATCATTGAATCAAAGACATTGTCTATATGACGGATGAAGGCATCTTCCATAATTATGTGCCTATTGTTTATTAAGTATATTGTTATGGTCTCCCAAGCATTAGACACACTGACCAGCATGTCAGCTACTGCTAAACTGCAAACAAAGAAATACATGGGTGAATGCAAGTTCTTGTTCTTAACTATTGCACATATAACTAAGATATTTTCAAGGAGGCTTACAATGCCCAGAGTTAGGAACACCTCAGCTGCAATGACCACTTGCTCACATGGTGATGACTTGCTCTTGACAGTAGGCACAGTAAGGTTGCTGCCAAAGGCACTCAGGTTTAGTTCAGAAACGTACAGTGGAGAGGACGTGTTCATCTCTGGAAGCAAATACGTTCTGTTCTTTCTGAGGGACTTGCCAAGGAATGCAATAAATGCATTTTCCAACAGGCGAAAGAACCTGCCAAAAAAAATATAGTATGACGAGAACAGGCAGAAGTTGACAAAACAAATATCAGCTATTTAATTTGGCATGTACACATCCTGTCTTCCACACCATATTCCTCTACTGAGTCTAAATTAACCTCTGATTGGCTCAGAATTCTTCTACCTATTTCCTTATTGGAAAATTAAAATCACAAACTGATGAAGGGATTCATACACTTTTCATTCACACTTTAATTTACTCTATTTGATCTCTCAAAAGCTAGGACAATGTTCCGGAAATGCTACTGAACACAAAACAGCAAGTAGTTTCGAGAGCCTCAATCATCAGAGTCCAGAAATGCAGGACAATACAGTATTAGGTCAGGCTGAAGCTGGTCACTTGATTTTAATATATATACGTTTGAATTATTGCAACAGTTAAAAACTTTTCAATAAAAGATTTAAACGCTTTCCTGACCTTCACACTTCTTAAGTTTGCATGAACTGCATTGTAAACAGTGTACCTTTGCTATAATAACATGTCCAGATAAGAGCATCGTATTAAACCACCAACCAAGGCAAATCCATACATTCCAGGATACAGTAAGGTTACCGAGTTGGTATGGGTGGATATCTGCCATTAAAATGTTTTCTATTCCGGGCTGGGAGCATTTTATTCAATGTTTCTTTCAGCAACAAGAATATTCAGGGCAAGTCATAAGCCATCACATTCTTAACAAGGAGAACACTTCCAGCTGATTGTCAGTGACTCAGTGCAAATAAAGCCTTTCAAGCTAAATCGTTTTCAGTTTTTAAAAGTAACCCTTCATTTGCAATCAAGAAGTAACTGTACCTGTTTATCAGAGCTGCTCCTTCAGTTACTCTTCCGCTTCATCATCTGCAACCTTTCCTCCAGAGAGCAGAAGTTTCAGCCCCCTCCTCATCCAACATCTGGGGCTGGGGACTCCTTGGTGGGGACTGATGACATTATAGAGGAAAAGGAATGAGCAAATCCATAGAGTCAAAGCTGACCACACATACATTACTTATGGTGCAACTGCCTTTTTATAGTCTCCGAGTCATAATGACTTCAGTACTCAAACTGTGGCTCCTCCTCCCCTTCTTTGCCCCTCTAAACTTCTCTTTTCACAGATTCTGTTAGCAAAGGCTTGGGTTTTTACCACCATCTAGTGGTCTTTTGCTGTCTTTTTTTTTTTAACTGAATAGTGATTCTAATCTAAAATTCTTGATGAATCTTTTTAAAATTCTTGCTTTTTAATATATCCTTAGTAAAAAATGACATTAAAGGGAAAAGGCAGTAGGCTTGTTCTTTTCCAAAAACATTTCACATTTGTTTTGGTTTTACTTCTGTGCTGCTGCTAGTCCTGACTGACAATAAGTTCATCCTGCTATAGTACTCCAAAAGAGGTAAGTCCAGAAGACCTTTATTAAAGCAGGAGGCTTCTTATTGTTATAAGCATTTGTCCTACATTCTCAGGTATAATTCTGAAGGAATAAGACCCACGCTATCACAAAACTCAGAAAAGAGCACACACTCAAGCTGTCATGCTGCCAACAGAAGATATAAGCCAAGTAATATGCGTGGAAAAATAATGATCAAAAAGAACAAACAAACAATTATGTTCTGATCTCCTGGCTAGATCTGAAATAGAGATTTTAGTGTGGACACAGATGGAGTAAATAGTGCACTGAGCAGGGGCCAGGGCTCCCTGAGTCAGATGCAAACTCCCCCAGGACCCACGGGGTCGAAGAGTCAGGAAACTTAGCGCTCGATGTTGCAACATCTGGAGCACTTCTATGGGTCTAGCAGTCAGCCAGTCCATGCTCATTCCGGGCTTTACCCAAAAGGTGGCAAAATCAGTGGTAGTCTTTTCTTTAATGAATGAGCTCTTCTTCTGTGCTCAGTCCAACGGAAGTCCAGAGGGTGTAGCGTCCTAACACTACCCAGTGCTCTGCATGTTATCTGCTAATCAGCTAGCCAAATGAACCGAGCAAGATTTGAATTTAGCCCAAGATAAAAAGTCTCTGCTTCTCCTAACCATCACCTTTCCAGGAATTAGGGTCTTTTTCATAGCATATAACTGCTTAAAATGCTCGTTTTTAATGAATAGCTGTTTTCTTAAAAGAATCGCCAGCAACAAGCACAAACTATATTTTGTGTAACAAACCATATGCCATGCCGTGCTGGAGTTTTCAGCGTCCAGGTACTATAAATGATAGAGTTTATTGTTATAATGGAACTAAATCCACGTGTCTGATTATTATACGCTACAGAAACATCCTTTATTGCTGTTGCTAGTTTCACTAGGGGAACATCCAGAGACCTGGGCCATTGTATGAAACATACTCATATACGAATAGTTCCTGCACCAAAGGAGAAAGATAGTGAAAACATTTTAATTCATCTGAGTAAAACAACTTCCCTAGCATTATGCAATTGTATTCAGGAGATGAACTTTGCATGCCCCTTCTCCCCACTAAAGCCAAAGAGAATTTTGATTATCACAAAATGGAGACAGCAAACCATGTTCAAGTGCAGCTGCTAAATGTGAGCAGTGCCAGCTAGTGAACAGACAAAATTCTCTGCTGTATCTAACCCATCCGCGTGCCAAATCTGAGCCCATAGTTCTTACGCCATGCCCAAAGGGAAGGACTAGATTAATAGATCCAGCAGAAGAATAGACCCATCTCCAGTTCCCTGTCTTAGGTGCTTTGCATAGTTTCTGATCTTTCCATTGCAGACCTTGGAAATCAGACAGCTAAAAGTAGAAATTTTACTTCTTTCCCTGTTCCTGTATCTACCAAGAACTGTGGAGACACTATGGTCTTTCTCTTTCCAGTTATTTCCTTTCCAGTCCACTAACTGTTTATTTATTATGTCTTCCCGCTCTTTAAATTCTGTTCGTCTTCTCATATACAAGTTTCTCTGTACATGCAGTTTACCATTAATAATGTTCTTTGCAGCTCAGCGTAGCTGCCTCTACAGTTGTTCTCATTGCTCTTCCTAGTACTCAGTAGACCAGCTGATTACAGGAAATCAGTCATGCATCAGACTCAATGGTTTGGCTCTTATCCCTTAGGATAACATGAGGTCTCTCATATATGAATCAGTCTTTGGTTTCTTCTTCCACAAGCCAGACACCGCAGGCCTAAACTTTGGTAGAAGGGATAGTGCTAGACGGAAGAAACTCTCGAAATTAACAAAGCTTGTGGAAAAAATTAGCTGCCTGTAAAATGAGACAGACGTATAGATGTTATTTGTTTATGTTACGGGATAAAATGGGAAAATAATTCTTTTTTTAAAAAAATAAGTTTTGTAGGTATACTGCTGCAGCAAACAGCTGTAAGCATAAAAGCTTGGCAAGCAAGTAGCTAAAAGGCACCCAATAAACAGTCAGTGGATGCAGGCAGGCAAGCGGTCAGGGCTGTAAGTAAAGCAGCACAGGAAAAGACCTTTGGATTCACTTGAACTACATCAGGAAGGATATTGCAAGAGTCCAAGAACAGCTTTACCTTCCAGCTGGAGGACTCCTGGTCGAATATGCTAGTCTTTCAGATACTCATGATCTTCGTGTTCAGCTCCCTTGTTTGTTCAGTTAAATGAATTCTCTGTCTGTGTGGACACGCTGGCATTCAGTGCTTTCCGAGGCCACAAAAGTCTGGTCTGGACTGCCAGCATGGGGAGACAGCACTTGGTGCACCACAAAGCCTGTGTCGGTGTTTAGCTGCTGTACTGACACAGCGCAGGACCTGATCCCCCAGCGCACAGAGCTCGCCCCTAGAGGAACACACGGAAACCCCCGTACACTCACAAACCTACATTTCCTTTCCACGAATGAAAAAAGGAAGGCAGGCTGGACTGAGGGGTCTGAAGGTGGACGCATGGATCTCGCTGCAGTGTTGAAACAGGCACGGCTGAAGCGTACGCACTTGGGAGCGCTCCTGAGATCCATGCACTATAAGTAGCCAGAAGGGATGCATTTCTTCTTCAGGATAAGGTGCTTTATTTCTTTACTTCATGTAATGTTTTACCTAGCATAATAAAAATGTTAACTGCTTAAGGTCCCTACCCCACTGCACTAACCAAGAGTTTGCCACTGGCTTCAGTGGAAAGGATCAAAATTGCCCCCAAAAGGACCTAAGTGAAAATAATGAAGGTGAGTACAGTACTAAAAGAGGGAAGAAAACAGCACATGTTTTGGTCATACACCATTCCTTCCATTTTGAAGTGGTAAGAGAGAGAGCAGAAAGCCAGTCCCACCACATATCTGCCTCTCACACCCGATTGCCACCGCTCCCGCTCAGGTTTCGTTGACAGACGTTCCCAGCCATTGCCCAACATCAAAGCCTCAAGGGACCGCTCCCAAACTCCCCTTCACCTGCCACATCAGCTGGGATGGGAGAGGCCGTAATCATCCTAAACTGTAGGACAAGTTACACCTCATCAAAAGTGGCAGGTCCAAAATCAGTCACATGCTGCTACCCAAAGCAAAGGCTCCTCTGAAAACTTGTGGCAGAGATGCTTATTGGATGTGATATAGGTGGGCAAGGGGAGGTGTTGCCATGTGACACCTCAGGCAGAAGCAGCAGCACACTGAGGAGGAGCTGCACTGATCTGCAACTGGGAGAAGCCTGGAGCTGTGCCCTTGGGGCCAGGGTCCTGGCCAAAAGCGATTTGGAAGGTGATCAGGTGAACCGGTCCTGTTATTTAAGACCTGGGCTTCACCCCGTCTTCTCTTTAACACAGAATTGTACCCCAGATACCTGTCTGTATCACTCATCTGCATTCTCACTGAATTCACATATAAGACCCCAAACTTGGGCTAGCCTTTTCTCCCATTGTTGGAATGTGTTTTTGCAAAGAGTAAAAGGGAAATTGCATATTACTTTCATCCCAGCCAGATGCTGGTTCTACCACTGAATGCTGAAATGAAGTCCACAGTACAATGTGCCCCTGAAGAACTTTCGGTCGGAAGAGCTTATTACCCTCTGATGAATTTGGGTATTAATCTATGCTAGCGCTAATGGGTTCAGAGTACAGTTTTACTGAAGCCAATAAAAATCTACACAACTTGTCTAGAGGTAATACATTGAACCAATTTAATTCCAGTGTCCTTCTGTAGCTGTTTTTAATCTGTTCAATGAAAATATATTTGTCCTTCATAACTTAGTTTTGGATTGGTGCTCTTGGCCTATTTACGAAATCTCTCTTCTGTCTATTCTTTGTTTGTACTGTCATTAGCACAGTATTTCAGAGCCACAGAGTGTTATCTCAAACTGCATTCTGCTTTGCAGAGATAATCCATGGACCCAGGGCAAAACTGAAGATCGTGGCCTTCTCTGCATTTAGATATATTATAACATATGTTCTCTAACTTCTCGAAATTGGGACAACTATTTCTCTTGATCTCTGCTCTGAGCAGCTTTTGCTGAGTCCCATTAAGGCCCCCACTGTTACCTCCACAATATCACCAAAGAGCAGTTGACCTTTAATAAAGACATGCAATTAATCCAGATCAAAAAGAGAAAAGGGGGAGGGAGGCAGTAAATTTTGCTTTCTCTAAATGAAAGAGGTAGATGAAATGGTGATACAGCCAGTTATATCCCCAATAAAATAAAAGAAAACAACACATGCTGGTAGTTCAGTCCCCTCCCCTGTGGAAGGGACAGCTGAAAGCCTAAGAGTTAGGGTTTGCAGTAGGCAGTGGTACGGTGAATATTGTTTTTTACATCCTTGCCCCAGTCTTCGTATCAACACCTAAACGGATTTTGCAGAAAGAAACACAGAAAAGCAGGACCAAAAGAAATATCAAAACACCATGTAAACTGTGCCCTGTCAGAAGGTAGGATCAGCCACACTTAATGAGAATATGACTGCTCCAGCACTTGTAACCACCATCAGCCCCTTTTCACCTGAGTGCTTCAAAATGGCTTAAGAAAATCTCTGGCCACTCTCAGCTAGTGGCACATATCAATGGTGCTTCTCACAGCAGAACAAAAAACTGAGGAGGATGCCATACAGTATAAAAGGCATTTTAGAAAGATATATCCTAGTAAACTAAACT